GGTATGGGAGCTGGAGTGAACCAAGGACACCACAAGAAAACCCACAGAATTAACTAAGCCAGCAGCGCCCCCATCTTCAGCCTCCTTCCCAAGCAAGCTGGTCCTGCTTTGCCTCCAGCTGTTTCTGGCACCTGGGAAACTGATAGTGAGGTGAGCAGTCCTTTCTCATTTTCTCCATGATTGCTGAAGTCCTGGGAATGGAAGCCTTCTTTTTTTTTTTTTTTTTTTTTTTTTTTTTTTTTTTTTTTTTTTCTTGTAGACCAGGCTGGTCTCAAACTCACAGAGATCCGCCTGCCTCTGCCTCCCGAGTGCTGGGATTAAAGGCATGCGCCACCATCGCCCGGCTAAGCCAGGCCCTCTTGAGTATTTAGGCGATAGCCCCCCAGTCAGCCAGCTTGGACCCCAATAAGCCGAAAGTACTGCAGGCTCTGTCTCCTGCATTAGGGGCACCCGGGTTGGAGAAGCGTGTAGTGGAGGAGGTATTTTCAGGCCACAGCTGTTATCCCCTCACAGTCCAGCTAAGGGAGCCCTGTTCCTGCTACCTGACCCTTCCCTTAAGTTCACGTATGGGAATGCTTTGAGACAGACCATTCATACCTCTCTCAAGAGAAGAACAAGGGTAAACTTCCTGGAACCATGTAGGTTCCAGGTTCCAAATGGCTAAAGCCCTTCAGGGCTACCAGCATGGAGACAGGACTTGCCCTCCTAGTCACCTCCATTTGAACTGCTTTCCACCTCAAACTTACAGCAACCTTGGTGGTACTCCTTACCGGTACATCTGGGAACTCGAGAAACAGAAAGCTGAGCAAGTCTTTGGGTCTTCCCTTCTTCCAGACAACCAAATCCCAGGTGTGTACACTTAGCTATTTACAGCTTGAAAGCCAGGTGGTGGGGCTAGGACACCATCAAGCAGAAGTGTGACCATCCCTGCCCACCTTTTTCAGTTGTATAGAGTGTGGAGTCTGGGTTCTTCCCGCTTCCTCTGCAGGAAGATGGTCTGTTTCCTGGAGTTGGGTGTGCTCTGTCTCTTGGCTCAGGAGTGATGGCCTGGTTCTGCCCTGGTTCTGGAGGGAGAAAATCTCCTTCCAGCTGTAGAGCCATCCTCAAAGCATCCAACCCCCAACTTGCTGTGGATAATTGGGATGTCCCCTCGGGAGTGCCAGAGGGGTTGTGGACACTTCCCAGGTAGCCAGGATTTTTAGCCAGGCGAGTGACCTTGAATGGAGATTCTCAAATCCTAGACAAGAGGTCCCAAGAAACATAACAGGGTTGCTGGTGGCTGTCTAGAACTTGCTGAACTCATTTCCTGCCACAGACTGAAAACCTGAATGCCAGGAATGACAAGACCAAGCAGCAGAGAAAGGGGATACAATAGCTCCACCCCTGTGGCAGGCAGAGGCCTGAGGCTGGGAGGCCCTGAACTGAACCTGGCTTGGGTGTTTTATAAGGCCTCTGGGTCCTCCCCTCTCCCTGACTGGTCCTATTTAGATATCCCCACCCACCCAACCACCAATGCCTTCCTGCAGTTTCCTCTGCCAAGGCAGTGTCTTCCGGGAACAAGGACTTCCCGAATCTACCTACATCCCTCCAACTCTCGTTCAGATAGGCAGTTTCTGTCCCTGTCCCTCAAATTAAGGTGACAGTTTCTGAGGTTGACCTCTGGCCTCCGCATGTATGTACACCTATATTCAGGCACGTGTGTGCATGCGTGGTTAACCATGAGTAGCCTCACCTGTTCTCTCAGCCCGTCCTAGAAACAGCTGTCTCACTACGGTGAGGCCCATCACAGAGACCTTCGTGATGGGTGAGACTAGAATGAGCAGCCGAGTTGAGTTGACCATGCAAATAAGCAAGGGGAATTTGACAGACATCTTGTTAGGTGACAGACATCCTGCTGGTATGAAACTGGGATGGCTTTTCCTGGTGTGCTGTTTTAGCTACAAGTGGGTTAAACACTTCCATCATGTCTTACATCCTTTTCACTACTGAGGATGGAACCCTAGGCCTGGCACAGGGGCACAAGTTCATCAAGAATGTTCTGCCACTAAACTCTACCCCATCTTAAGATGCTCCCCCTGCAGGGTGTGTGTGTGTGTGTGTGTGTGTGTGTGTGTGTGTGTGTGTGTGAGAGAGAGAGAGAGAGATATGGGCTTGCTCTCCAACCACTGATTTATAAGCATAAGTCTATTTTACGAATAAGCTCTTGCCTGCATGTATGTATGTGCACCATGTATGTGCCTGCTGCCCTTAAAAGTCAGGAGAGGGCATTGGATGCCCTGGAATTGGAGCTGCCATGAAGGTGCTAGCAATCAAATGTCTCCTATAAGAACAGCCAGTGCTCTTAACTGTTGAGCCATCTCTCCAGCGCCCACAGCGCCTTTTATAGCAACCACTTCCTAACATCTTAATGTGAGAAGACATTGACAGGTGTTTGGAGGGAAGAAGTCAAACCCAAGAAACTGCAGTTTTTTCAGGATTCACAAATGCTCTGAGCTCCACAATCAGCATTTAACCTAGTGTGGTAGTCTGAATGAAAATGGCCCCCATAGGCTCATAGGGAGTGTGGCGTTTGAAAGGATAGGTGTGACCCCATTGGAGGAAGTGTGTCACTGGGTGTGGGCTTGGGGGTTTCAGAGACTCAAGCCAGGCTCAGTGGCTCACTCTCTTTTCTTGCTGCCTACAAGAGATCCAGATGTAGAACTCTTGGCTTCTTCATCAGCACCACCTCTGCCCGAGTGCCACCATGCTTCCCACCTCTGAACCTCTAAGCCAGCCCCAATTAAATGCTTTCTTTATGAGTTGCTGTGGCCATGGTGTCTCTTCACAGCAACGGAAACCCTAAACAGTTCCTCTGCTGAGAGTATGGTGAAAGTTGCCTTCCGCCCGACTGTAGGTCCCACTGTCTGGTCTCCTGTGATCTGCCGTGCTGAATATAGCAGGCCCAAGAGGAAGACCTGTTTCCAGTGATGGCTTCTCCTTCCTTGAACATGTGAGAGCTGCCTGATGAGGATGTCTGTAAGTCTCAAGCATTTTGTGGCATCGGACATCTTTATGGTTTGAAATCCTACTGCAGTTTTATAAATAGCCCTTGTTGAGCCAGTAAAGCTTGTTCCCATGGCAGCCTTGGACCAGTTTCCTTCAGAATGAACAGTAAGGAAGTGAGACCATGGAACAGAGTTTTACTAGCACCAAAAGTCCGTGGCTTCTCAAGGATGCTTGAGCTCAGCTTCTCTCAATAGATGACAGATTGTGTACGCACGTGTGTGCACATGCATTCAATGTTCATGTGGAAGCCAGAGTACAACCTTGGATGTCATGAGAGGACAGATTGTGGGCATATTCCAAAGATGGTTTATAAAGTCCTTATGCATTAGTCAGCATTCTTGAGAGGAACAGAACTAAGAGAGAGAGAGAGAGAGAGAGAGAGAGAGAGAGAGAGAGAGTGTATTTATTAGAGTGGCTTTACATACAGGCTGTAGCCCAACTAGTCCAACAATGACTGCCGCCAACACAAAGGCAAGAATCCAGTGGTTCAGTCTATGAGGCTGGATGTCTCAGCTGGTCTGCAGTATATGCCAGAGTCTCCAAGAAGTAGGCTCCAACGCCGGTAAAGGAATGGACTTGTCAACAAGGTGAGGGCAAGTGGGCAGAAAGAGAAAGCTTTCTTCTTCCATGTCCTTTATATAGGCTGCAAGCAGCAGATGTGGCCCAGATCAAAGGTGGGTTTTCTCACTCCAAATTATTTAATTTAAAAAAAGAAAAATCTCTCACAGGTGTACCAAGCCACTTGGGTTTTAGTTAATTCCAGATGTAGTCAAGTAGACAACCAAGAATAGGCATCACCCTTGTTACACTTTTTTTTTTTCCCTTAAATATTAAATGCCCAGACTCGGGAGTTTCTAGGGTGTCATGAAGCACTTGGAAGCGTTTCACACCACACAATCAGCACCCAAAGCTAAAGTTACACATGTGGTAAAATGAAAGTGGTAAAATGAAAACCATGCTATGATCAAAGCCGACATTCTGAAGTTAGAGGATGAGATGGATGTCTTCAGTGAGGGTTAGAGGAACATGTGCCCACAGGTGGTGGCCTGGGTTTGCTTCCACTGAGCTGCAAGGCTACGGTGCAGAAGTTACCCACGTGGATGAGGATGGAGTTTTTCTCCAGGGTACGATAGATCAAGCCATCACAGCATGGTCTCCGGCACAAAGGAGGCCGTTTATGGACGCATTCTGAAGCCTTGTTTGGGTTTTCCTTGGGTGTTCTGTTTGTCTGTAGACAGGATCCCATGTGTCCCAAGCTGGTATGTAGCTGAGGATGAACTTGAACTCCCAACCCTCAAACCTGTACTTCCCAAGTGCTGGGATTATAGGCATTCATTCGTCACCCCACTGAGTTTATGGAGTTGCATGTCCCTTTTTAATCATAAAAGTTATTACTATTATATGTGATGGGTGTTTTGCTTGCATGTGGAGGCCAGAAGAGGGTGTCAGATCCCCTGGATCTAGAGTCACAGATAGTTATGAGCTACCATGTGGGTGCTAAGAATTGAACAAGGGTCTTCTGGAGGGTTTTGTTTTGTTTTGTTTTTTTAGTAGGTTTCTCTGTGTAACAGTCCTGGCTATCCTGGAACTCAGTTTTCAGACCAAGCTGGCCTGGAACTCACAGAGATCTACTTGCCTCTGCCTCCCAAGTGCTGGGATTAAAGGTGTGTGCCACCACCATCCAGCATTCTGGAAGTGTTTTTAACTACTGAGTTGTCTCTCCAGCCCCCTCTTAACTCAGTTGATTCTCCTGTTAGACTTCAAAGGTCGGGAGCATGAACAGAGACCTCTTACACCATAAGCTGAAATTAAGCTTTCCTGCCCTCAAGCTGCTTGTCCCAGGTATTTGTTCTAGTCAGGGAAACTGGAGAAATCCATAGTGAGTACCACTGTACCATCTTTTTTTGGGGGGGGTATATTATAACCCACAATAAATGTCATGAAAGAACAAGGCGTTTCACTGACTCCTTTACATTTATTTAGGAGGTAGGAGAGGGTGGCAGAGTGGTCACTGGAGAATTACCTACAGGGAAAAGGTAAGGGGGGGGGGGAGTCTGCGGGGCTGTGCAGGAATGCAGTGACTGTTTCTGTAGGCGAAGAGGAGGAGCATCTGTAAGTACCTGGTGCGAGTCCTGTAATAAAACCTACCTTCATGAATGGGTACAGTGGAATACTACCTGCTGTATTCATATCTAGATTTTTCTATATACAGTGTATGATCACTTTTTATAAATGTACAGCTCGGAGGGGGGGAAGACCTTTCTTATTATAAGCACAGCGTTAAAACATAAAACCAACATGGGCCAGCCACATTACAACCAAAGACCAAGAGAAAGCAAGACCAACAGCCTAGCATCCAGCTCCTTCCCCACCAGCAGTCTTAGTGGCCCTGGCTCCTGGGGGCTCTGAGAGCGGCCAGTCCTTGGCATTGACACAGGAGTGCCTGTTCACACCAAGTCCAGCCTCCAGAGGGCGGGTCCTCCCTGAAGGAGGGTTAGCAGAGAGGAATGTATCAGGTGTAAGAGAGGAATGAATGAGATGTGCACTTCAACTAAAGGCACTTGTCAAGGGTGGCCGCCTGCTGTTCCCTGGGCCTGGTGAGTGAGCTAGGGGTTGTGGGATAGACACCAAGCGAGCCAGTGGGCCCCTGTTACTCTCACCAGATTTAAATACAATAAATAAATCTTAGTGGGTGGTTGTTTTTGCACTCCTGGGGATTAGGCTACCTTTTAGGATCATTTATGGACTGACACTCCTTGTCCCTAATCCAAGCTTTTCTATGTCTTCCGTGGGGAAGGTGCCAGAATAGCTTCAGGCCTTGCTTACTGGGGATCAGAAGGGGAATCCCCAGAAAGTCCCCTCCCCAGTCCATGCCTGGAGCTCCTCTGCCTGCATATCAATTTCTGGGTGCCTCAGATCTTGGTGACGTAGTTGTTGGGAAACAGGCCCTGCTTGCCTCGTAGTCTACCCGTCCACCAGCCAGAAGGATCTGTGAAGGTAAAAGTAACAGGTGAGTGTGAGCCTCACCCCTGCTCCTGTGGGCTCAAGTGACTTAGTTCCATTCAGTTTCTTCCTTCTGTGTTTTATTTTGTTGTGAAAAAGTTTCTCAGGCTGGAGAGATGGCTCAGATGTTAAGAGCACTGGCTGTTCTTGCAGAGGTCCTGGGTTCAATTCCCAGCAACCACATGGTGGCTCACAACCATCTGTAATGAGATATGGTGCCCTCTTCTGGTCTGCAGGCATATATGGAGGCAGAATGTTGTATACATAATAAATAAATAAATCTTTAAAAAAAAAAAAAGAAAAAGTTTCTCATATAGACGACCTGCTCTCAGGCTGAGGATATGACTGTTGATACAGTGCTTTCCCTGCTATGCATGAAGCCTTGGGGTTCCATCCCCAGCACTGCATGAACCAATATGGTGGTACATGCTTGTTATCCCAGCACTCAGAAAGTAGAAGTAGGAAAACCAGAAGCTTAAGGCCAGACTTGGCTAAATGAGACCCTGTCTAAAAGAGAAAAAAAACAATAAAAAATATAAAAGTAACCCCTTAAAACAGATGTGGAACCAGGCAGTGGTGGTGCACACCTTTAATCCCAGCACTCCAGAGGCAGAGGCAGGTGGATCACTGAGTTTGAGGCCAGCGGGTCTACAGAGTGAGTTCCAGGACAGCCAGGGCTACACAGAGAAACCCCGGTCTCGAAAAACCAAAAACCAACCAACCAACAACAAAAACAGACATCGAAATGTACCATCAATCGCATCCCTTTAGGTGGGAAGCCTGCAGAGCAGATGTGAGAAGGCCTCCACCTGTGAGCCCTGTAGAAGCCACCCTGGCTAGGCCAGCCCAGAGCAGTCTGCCCAGGGTCAGCGTGGTGCAGGACAACTCAGGCCCTGCCTCCCGTCTCTCTCCACCACTTGCTCCATTCCCAACCCCAACTCGGTCTGTTTGTGGGAGAACTGGTTCTGCCTCAATCCAGTGCACTCCTTCCCATCTTCGCCTGTCTTTTGATCCTTCTCAGCTTAGCTCTTCATGATGTTTTCATATTTCAGAAGTTTAGCAACATCTGTGTTTGTTGTTACTTTCCAGACAGGGTCTCCTGTAGGCCTCAAACTTCCTATGTAATAGAGGATAACCTTGAACTTCTGGATCTCCTGCCTCCACCTCCTGAGTTCTGGGATCTCAGGAATGTGCCAACATTTCTTGTTTGATGCAGTGCAGGAAATCGAACTCAGGGCCTTGAGCTGGATATGAACCCTACCAACTAAGCTATGCCCTTGCCCAACACCTGTGATTCTCCGGCTGCTCAGATTTTTACAATTTTAGGAGACCCTTTCCACATGACTAGGAACAAAACTGTCATACTTGTAGGACATTTTTCTTTTTATAATACATGTGAATGTTTATTTGGATTTCTAATCTTGGTTTGCTGGAATGAAGGACAAATCTAAAGGCATCATTTTGATGTGAGAAGTGAAGAACGTGGATAGTTGTTGCCAAACATCTCCACTTATTTTCTCGGAAGGAGGAACTATGTAGGGTACTTATTTCCCCAGCACGTGGATGTGAGCATGGCCACTCTCACCACAGTGACGAAACTCAGAAAGCTCTGAAAATGTCAAGGTTTCGGTTACTCATTCAGTGGGAAAACTTGACCTGAACTGATATGGATTTGTTTGGGAACTTTCCCCCGACTGAGTATGAACACTCAATCACACACACACACACACACACACACACGCACACACGCACACACGCACACGCGCACACGCGCACACACGCACACAACGCACACGTGTGTGTGTGTGTGTGTGTGTGTGTGTAAATATGATGTCATGAATACACACTTGTACACAACCCCTCCTTACTTAAAAAGGCATTTAAAAAAGAAGTCTTGAGGGGCCTGAGAGCCCAGGACTATAAACCCAATGACTCGGGAAGCTGAGGCTGAAGGATCACAAGTCTGAACTTGTGCCCGGCTATAGAGTGAGTTCAAGGCCATCCTAGATAACTTAGTGAGACTCCATATAAAAAAAAAAAATCAATGGAGGGCTGAGAGCACAGCCCAGTGGCGTAGTGCTTGCCTAGCATGCTCAAGACCTTATGTTCAACCCCTGACATTGTGAAAAGTTTTGACCAAATAGTTTGAGACCTGGCTTCCCTCTGTCTACTCCAGTGGTTCTCAACCTTCCTAATGCTGCAACCCTTTGACACAGTTCTTCATGTTGTGGTGACCCCCAACCATAACATTATTTTTGTTGCTACTTGCAACTGTAATTTTGCTATTGTTATGAATCATAATGTAAATATCTGATATACAGGATACCTGATCTGCAACCTCTGTGAAAAGGTCATTCGACTGTCAAAGGGGTTGAGAAACATTGGTTTACACACTTCTGCCAGGTGAACCCATGCACTCCCGACATGCTCTTTGGGAAGCTACTGCAGTCAGCCATGCACTTACCTTCTTTAATAATATCAATAACATCATTGGCATTGAAGCTGAGTTCATCCGTGTCCTGAGCATCATAGGCATACAAAGCCTTGCACTGTGGCACCTGAGGCTTGGGCTTAGGTTGGGGCTTTGGTCTGCCCCCTGCTGGGGGAGGCCGGCTGGTTGTTTGTCTTCGGACTCTGTGGAGAGAGCAGGACCCTATGAGACAAGGACATCACCAGGAAGCGGCAATATATTTTGGTGGCTGCAGCAGGGACTACACTGTCTAGTTCAATCACCTTTACCTTCTGAGCCATCTTGCCAGCCTTTACGCTATACAAACCCCATCCCCAAATACTTGTACAAGGAAATTCAGGTTTCTACATCCAAAAGGAGGCAGGCAATTGTCCTTAAGGCAGAGTGATGAAATCTGGTGTGGGCGGATGGGGGTGTTCAAGGATACTGGGGTGTAGCACACATTTCTCCTTTGAAGGCCCCCGAGGGAAGGCGTGGGAAGGAGGATTGCTTAAACATCTGCCACTACATAGTCTTTTTGTTGTTGTTCATTACTGTTTTGAGACAGGGTCTGTAGGGGAAGCTGTAGCCACGCCTTCTTAGGGGCTGGCTACAAGAGTACCTGAGGGCTTGTGAGGGCGTGGTCAGAGTGAGTAGGGGGACTGCGTTTTCGGTTTCGGTTTCTCTTTGCTTCTTGCTGTACAGACTACCACCGGCTGGCTGGTTCGCTCTGTAAGTAAGGCTTTTCCCTATTAAATACCCTTATATTTCTACCTGACTCCGTATTGGTAATTTCTTACTATAAGGGTCTATTCCTTGAATTCAGTGTGCAGCTAGGGAACAAGGAAGTTTATGCTAAGAGCCCACTGTCTTTAGGGCCTGGCAGACTGGGGATCTGGAAGCAGCAGAGTCACAACAGCCCTTACCCAGGTTAGGTTAGAAAAAGCCCCAGCAGCCTGGGAGACCCGGCCAATCTCTTCTGTATCACTAGGTGGCAATGCTGCATCATAAATACGGAGAACCAATGGCTTCCAACATACTGCCAGAAGTTGACTAATGAGGTCTTTTAGGTACTAGGAGCTGGCCACTCTCAGCCAGGGTGACTGCCAACTCAGTGCAGAAGGGACCCTGAACAGAGCTGGCTCAGTCCCCATTGGAGCTGATGGCTCAAACTTCCAGGAATTATTTCAACTACTTGTGAAACACAGTCATTGAAAATTAAATCTTACAAACTTAACAATCAAATTAGCCAAGGAAATAAATATGCAAGCTTCATCCCTTCAAAACCAGCTTTCTGTCTCTGTTCTGGAGGTTATGAAAGTCTCTTACTGATGTGAAATGGAAACACTGTTCACTTGGTGTGATTGCCAATTCACGCCCCCTTCAGTGTAGCCATGCTCGTGCCTGACATATGGCCACGGCATGTGTATTTACCTCATGTCTTGGTTTGCTTGCTATTGCTGCCATAAAACACTGACCAAAGCAACCTGGGGACTTTTGGCTTACTTGTCCTGGTTACAGTTCGTCTACAAGGGGAAGTTAGGGCAGAACTCAAGGCAGGGACTGAGCAAAGATCATGGAAGAATACTGCTTACTAGTGTGCTCACTTGCTTTGTTATACAACCCAGGATCTAGGGGTAGCCCTGCCCACATCAGGCATTAAACAAGAAGATGTTCCATAGACTTGCCCACAGGTAAATCTGGTGGAGATAATTCTTCAGTTGAGGTCCATCTTCCCAGATAACCATAGCTTATGTCAAGGTTACAAAAACTAAGCCACATACCTCAGGAACTGGCAAACTGTTACAATTCAGGCACTTTTGTCCAGTTCCATTGCTCACCCACATGTCACTGCTTGGGAGACCCTTCCAATAACAATAATAACCCAAATTCATCCTCATCTGGAAATGCTTTCCTGCAGCTGGGGAGATGGCTCAGTGATTAAGAGCAGTTGCTGTTCTTTCTCTTTTCTTTTTAAAAAGATTTTACTATTTATTATGTATAGTGTTCTACCTGCATGTTGTTTGCCTGCACACCAGAAGAGGGCACCAGACCTCATTACAGATGGTTGTGAGCCATCATATGGGTACTGGGAATTGAACTAAGGACCTCTGCAGTCAGTGCTCTTACCACTGAGCCATCTCTCCAGCCCCAGCCTGTACTTGCTGTTCTTGCAGAGAACCCTGGGTTGGTTCCCAGCACCCACATGCTGACTCACAACTGTCTGTTGACTCTAGTTCCTAGGGATCTGACACTCTCCTCTGGCTTTTGAGGGTACTGGGCACACATATGGTGCATGTAGACATCTAGGTAAAACACCTATACACATAAAATAAGACAAAAATGAAAATGCTTTCCCTAGCTAGGCTTGGCAGCACACACCTGTAATTCCAGCACCCAGTAGATAGAGGCAGGAAAATCTCTGTGAGCTCAAGGCCAGACTGAGACAAAGCAGGTCTCAGAAATCAAATAAAAACAAGCAGCAGGCTTTCTCTTCACTTATTCTGAACTGGCTGTACAAGGTTTGGGTAATTTTGGCCCTTCTGCTATTTTGTGCTGTTTATATTTCTAATTATGACCCGCCCTCATTCCAGGATTGAAAGCCGTGTTATAAAGGCAGATCCTTCACTGGGAGAATGGGGACTGACTGCAGTGAGGATCTCAGTTTAACAATAAAGCTTCTATCCCTGCTGACATTACAATGGTCAAAGTTTACTTTATCTATAGGACTGTCTGTATCTGTGCAGACACATGTTAGTATATAGCTATGAAACTACACACTACCAAACAAATCTAGTATCTGAATATATGTAATTTTCTTAATTGAAAAATTTTATATTATTTACTGTGTGTCAGTGTGTGTTTTGAGGGGATGCATACCATAGCCTTTGTGTAGGTCAAAGGGCAGTTTGCTGGCATTGGTTTTCTTATTCTACCAAAGTTCTGGAGTCAGGTCAACATGCTTGGTGGCAAGCACATTTACCCACTGAGCCATCTTGTTACCGCTAAATTTATTTTAAAATAAATTATGTATATGGGCGTTCTGTCAGCATGTATGTCTGTGTACCATGTGTGTGCCTGCTGCTCTTGAAAGCCAAAAGGGCACTGGGTACCCTGGAAATGGAATTACAGATGGTTGTGAGCTGCTGGGTGAGTGCTAAGAATAAAACTCAGGTCCTCAGGAAAAGCAGCAAGGGCTCTTAATAGCTAAGCCACCTCACTGGCCCCATATGGATTTTTTTGTACAAAGAAACTTAGCTTTCCTGTTGTGACTTGATGGACCCCTTAAGTTCAGGCAATTTGCATACCCACTTTGTGTCTTTTGTCCCTTAACTCTATGAATGTAGGAAGAAATGGACTTCTCTCCCCCCCATCTCTGAGCAGGACATTTTACTCAAGTATAATCACACTATAACCCAGAATGCAATTCATTTCTCCTAAGGAAATATGCACAGCACATCTGAGTTGCAGGCTGAGAAATTACCCTGCAAGGTGAATCCTACATTAGTGGCTTGGGAAGACCATCGTGCAGGCACTGAAGTCAACGCTAGTCAAGTGCTGGGGGAGTCTCCTGAGATAAGAAAACCTAACTGGCATCAAACATCTCCAAACTGAGGACTACTTGATGCCCCTGCCCTGGTCCATAGGATGTGGATGTGATGCTGATCAGTGATGAAGTTGTGCTATGAAGCACATGGAGCTTGCAGCAAGAAGGAATTTGGCTTTAAGTTGTCCAGATTGACTGCAGTGTCTAGTGACAGCTGTAGCATCCCTGTATCAGTGTGCCCTGCCTCTGCTCTGTACAATCACTGCACTGTCAGTCCACAGTGTGGTAGGGAGTGTTCCCCTGCCTGCCTCCCTAGGAACAAATGCAAAAGAACGTGGTAGAGAATTTGCTTAGAATGTGTGAGATTCTGGCCTTGACCCTTAGAACCACAGAAAAACAGCTCCTCCCAACTCAAGTTACTTTGTGCTTTCTTATATATTTAGCCCTTCTATACTCTTTAGGAAAACCCAGAAAAGTGGGCTTTTCATTTATTATCCATTTTTAAAGGTTTAAATAATCAGTTTGCCAGGGTGTGTGTAATGCTTGCCAGGACTCACGTGTGGAGGTCAGAGGGTCTGTTATCTCCTACCTCGTGGGTCCTAGGGATCAGACACCAGTCCTCAGGCTTGGTGACAAATACTCTTCCCTGCTGAGTCACCTCGCTAGTTCTCAGTTATTGGCATCTTATTCTCCCCATTATACATATGAAAACACCAAGGCACACAAGTTAAGTGACAAGCATGAGCTACACAAAAAGCATGGCTCAGTACATTTTTGATGAGTGAAGGCCAAAGAAATTAACATATGAGCCAGACTGAGCCCAGTCCTTCCAATTGTGCTACACCACTTTCTGTGAACTTTCTTTCGTTTTCTTTTTCTTTTTTTTTCTTTTTTTTCTTTCAAGACAGGGTTTCTCTGTGGCTTTGGAGGCTGTCCTGGAACTAGCTTTTGTAGACCAGGCTGGCCTCGAACTCACAGAGATCCTCTTGCCCCTGCCACTACCACCCTGCGCTTTCTGTGAACTTTCTGAACGATTCCCATCATTCCCAAGGTAGGTGTGCCAGGGAGAGCTGGGGTTAAGCTTTTGAATATCACTGCATTTGTTCTGCAGATGTGAAATTTGGGTCTTGAATTTCCAAGAAGGAGAAGAATAGAGTCTTATTGTATTGGCTTTAAAAATCACATTCTGCTCCAAAGGCTGAAACCATAGAATTACTGGAAGTATTAGAGTGGGTGCCAGGAATTTCTAAGACCTGGAGTCAAGCTTGGGCCAGGTTCGGGCTGCTCCTGTAGACTGTAGGTTGAGACTATTGCTATTGGATGCTTGCTGGAAATTTTAAGCCTTTTGAAAATATAACTCCATTAGGAGAGTCCTGCCTGACAGGAGACACCCAGGCAGCACTTACAGCTGCCTAGCTATTCCTCCTTTGCTGCATGGAGGGAAGCCCTGTCACCCATTACTGTTTTCCTGAAGCATCTTTGGAAGCTCCTATAGCCATTCTCCCATGAAACAGAACACAGGATTAAAATCAGCAACAGACATTTCCAATCTTGGCTTCAGTTCTTCCACAACAGGCTGTAGGCAGATCACATTACAGTGACCAGGGGAAAAGCTGTCTGGCACACTCGATGGCCAGA